TGATGGACTCTTGGTGGTTGCTCTTGCTCTTTTGCGAGTCAAGTTGCTTTTCCATTTTCCTGCCCTTTCCTTTGAGCCTCGTCACCTTTTCCAGTAGGCTGTTTCGGGTGTTCGAGGATCGATGTTCCGGTGGCTAGTCGATAGTGGATTTGGATGGTTGGACTTTGTGGTGGCGTTTTGGTGATCCCCGAAGCGTTTTACTTTGTATCCTCTCGATTGATGGACGGTCTTGGTAGTTGCTTGGTAGTGGCTTGTTGTCTGGTTTTGGGATCTTTTGATGATTCGAAATTGAAGTTTACTGCTCAATAGATTGATTGTCAATGTTACTAGGTTGGGTCTAGGGGAGTGCGAAGGCACTTCAGGGTGGATTTTCCGAGTCTTGCTGCTTGGGTGTTTCTGATGTTGAGTTGTTTTAGGTGGCTTTTTTCTGAGTCTTCTGGATGAAGATTTCAGTGGTTCCCGTGAATTGATTCTCGATGCGACTGGTTTGGATCGTTCTGAGAGAGATGCGAAGTGATGGAAAGGTTTCACTGGTAAATTCGTTGGGTTTTCGTCTTTTATCTCGATCTCGGTTTAGTTGACGGGCGACCTTAATGTTCACCTAGTTTTGCAATCGGTTTCGCTCTGAATATTATTCCTGTTCGTTCCCGAGGAGTCTTTTTCATATTTAAACAAAGGTGTTGACGAGAGGGACACTTTGATGGTGAGGTTCCCGAGCTCCCCGAAAGAGTAATCGCTACGATAAATCTCGACTTTTCAATTCACCGTTTCCAAGAATAAATCACCGCGATCTTAGGAGAGTTTTATGGCTGTTGGTTTGGCAGTCGGCGTGTTGAGCTCTTTACTTTGTGTTATATTTTGGATCCTGTTATTATTACCGGGTGTCTAGAGTACTCTGCCAAGTTTTTCCGAATTTTTTCATCTGTCTGGAAATCTTTCTACGCGCTTGCTTCGACAAAAAATATTCAAGTTGGACTCTCCTCTACTGAGCACAAATCCCATTTTTAGGGGATTTCTGTGATAAACTGAAATTTACATCTGCGTGTAGATTGTCGGGCCGGTGTTTAACCAGTTAACTGTGTTCGACGAGTATACACGTCATCGTAAAGCTTGACACGATACCAATTCTTTCAACAATGAATTCTTTATTTTTTCACATAAACATGTAATTTTGTCCTGCGTTCGACGAGTACACGCTCCATTTTTCGATTTTATTGCGCAGAACGAGAGGTTTTTCCAACTAAATTCCCCAGTTAACTGGTTAATTGCGTTAAAAACTTTAATACAATATAGTCTTATTCCGTGAAACAATTTCGCAAGACGGTAAGCTTTCCAAAGAACAATGTCGAAGACGTAACACGTATGTCGCGACAGTTTTAACGGAAAGCGCGCTATTTTTAAGCTTCCGAAAAGGAACTTGTTTTGCGGTTGGCCCGCCTTTGAAAGAGGAGCGGTAATCGCGTTACATTCGGCTCTCGAGATAAAGAGGAAACGCCGATGATACTTGAAGGTCCTCGTCCGTTGGAATCGTTGCCACTTTTCTTCGGGAAATCCCTATTGATAGGGATTGAGTACTATTTACTGGCACGGCACTTCCATCTACGCTGTCTCGGAGCTCGGTGAAAAAAATTTCGTGGAAATATCTGTGAATGCCGAAGTTCTACACGTGTTTCTACGTGATATAACCTGTGGAATGGGAATTACTGAAAATGTTTCATTGTAATAGGTGTCGATATACCTATTTAGAATAATATTAAAATAATATTGAAATAATATTGATATAAATTATATTAAAATAATATTAAAATAATATTGATATAATATTGATATAAATTATATTAAAATAATATTAAAATAATATTAAAATAATATTGATATAAATTATATAAAATGTGCTAAATACTAAATACTATTAAACATAGTAAAATATATTACATACTAAGCAATAGACATACGACTAAATAATAGGTATAATAATAGATATACCAATAAGAAATTTTTGAATGGAAACTCCATTTATACATAATGAATTGAAATGAAACTTTGGACATATCTTTTATATAGCTTCGAATATTTCGCTATTGCAATATTCTACTTAGTTCTACGTTTCAAAAATTGAAATAGCCAATGCCAATGTAAACACGGCTTCCTGAGTCTACGAAAATAGCAAGATCTCGGATCTTCAGCTTCGAATCGATCGAGAAGTTCAAGTTCAAGACGATGAATGTCAACCTTTAACGGTCTAGTACCGTCGTAAAGGTGACTTCGAGCTTTGCCATTTAAAATCGAAAGTCTAGAATGAATCATTTAAAATGCTAAGAAATGCTAGAAATTTCATTGAAAATGAAAAATGCTATAACATTCCTTCGTAGTAGACCTAACCAAGACTCAATAATTTTCCTACATCATATTAACTAGTGACCGAGACCCGTCTTTCAAGTTCAAAGGGTTAACAACGATTCGAAGGTGATACAAACAAAACACCAACATAAAAATGAAACGGAAACGCGACATGGCGCGCTGTTTGAAATTCGCATCCAGCAAAGCAATTTTCCACTTAACTCGATTCGCGTATTGACAAACACTCGTATTGCTAAACCTCGGATTTCCCAGACGGCCGAAAACAATCCCGTGCCAAGTGCAGTTTAACACTGCTTGCATTTCAATGGGCAAGAGCCTCTTGAAATATTCCACGCTCCCTCGAAACCGACCAGTTTTATTTTCGTGATCGATACACCGACATTTTTACGAGCCGAATCAACACCGTGCGAACGTTCTCGCGACGCGACTGGTCCCTTCGGGTTCTACAACTGCGACCACACTCGATCAACTCTCGTCGACCTCTTGCCTTATAACATGTCACGGGGCTGACGATGAAGTTTCGAAAGCAAAAACGGTCGAACGACCGTTTATCAACACCGAAACTACCGAGCAATCAGAGCGACTTGTTTCCAGGTTTTTATAAAAATTGGAAAAGCGCCCCTTGAGGTTCGAAGGGTCTAGTTTGAACCTATGCAAATGCACGGTAGAAAATATAAAAATATAAAAATCTAAATATTTCGATTTTAATATTTCCAAATAATAAACTATTGTATTATAAAAATTACATAAATCTAAAGTAAAAATTAGAAAAGGTAAAGAAAGAATATTGTATAAAATAATAAATAAAATGCATTGAAAATTTTTCGTACAGACGTCTTCAGAATTGAAATATTTGCGGAATAATAATTCGTTGTAATAACAGTTCGGTAGTTTTAGTGTTAAAATCTGATTTAACCCTTAGCAGTCTATTTTATTGCAACCTCTACCTGTTTTAACAATTTTTTCTATATTTGTAGTATCACAATTGTACCATTTAAAGGTAACATTTCAGTGACTCCCAAATATTCTTGAATAAATAAATAGAGCGTCATACTAAGCTGTAATTGAATGAACTAACGTCGACGCGAACCTCAAACTGAGAAACCAAGAGCACGGACCGCAAAGGGTTAAAATCCTGCGTTTTCATCAATTTTTCAATCATAGCTTCCCCTTTTCGTTCTGTTTTTTAAAAACATTCATCTAACTCTACCTTTATTTCGTAGCCAGTTATATGATATCTAATAAATATTATCTACTTTCTACTTTCGAGTCACCGTCAATTTCTTTAAACATTCTGCAAAGATCTGAATTTGCATAGAAGTCTACAGTATATTCATAATTAATGTTGAACATACTGTAAAATATCGCGAAATGTTACATTTTTCAGCAGTGGTACTATAGCGAAGCAGGAAGGGAAAATATATTATCGGAAAGAGATCGCTGTAAGTAGAACTGGGCCATATATGGTCAGGCACGGCTCAAGAGAACCGCTGGCGTGCAATTTGTTGCCTGTATATTGTTTTATACGGATATTCCAATAGATAAAATACAGAATAAAATGACAAACAATCTAACAACGTGTACGTAACATTATTTTACACGAACTATAAACATTCACGGGAAGATAAACCGTAGCAGTTGTGTACTTCACACATTCTACGGCGTTCCTGTTTATTGTAAAATACGATTTTTTTATGAAAACATGGTTTTTTGAAACGAAAAGGGAACAGTGTTATAAATTGACCAGAGCACCGCGCTTTCGAATGCGGTTGTCTTTCATCCACTATTCCTGCGTGCAACGAACGCGCGCGGTCGCTCGGTGCTCTCCATTTCCCGGTAATTTCGTTGTCCCAGAGTTGTCGCTTCCGCTAGTTTATCGCGCGAAACAAATAACAGCAAACCGCTGACAATAGGTCTAAACGTCGATTCGAGGATATAACGAACGGCCAAGATGGCCACGCGAATTGAACGGTACTAAATTTCACGGCAGCGTCGGAATCCTTGAAACTTATCCTTCGCTTCCGTGATTCCGGTGAAACGCTTCGCGTTTTTACACATTTTTATGAATATTAAAATTATTAAAATTTTCGATTCGATGTTCACCCTTTGCGGACGAATGTCGACATTTCGAGATGAAATTTTCATATTTCAAAGACTATGTCGTTAATAAATGATTTAATTATTCGAATAGCAAGATATCAGCACGTAATCTCTGGTTTTTCCGTTACTTAAGGAATTGCTTTATAATTTAGCTTCGTCTACCGAAGGTTCTGTATATTTCAGAAAATCTTCGTCCGCAAAGGGTTAAACCTTCTGTAATGTATCGACACATAAAACGTCGAAGTAAAATACCTTTGTTTCTTAATTGTCGTGTTTTCTCATTAGTTCGTTTCAAATGTCTGTCTTATCGGAAAGTGTCGAATATTTCTAATGAAAAGCTTCCAATTGCAAATGATTTAATTATTCAAATAGCAAGAGATCAGCACGTAATCTCTACTTTTTCCGTTACTTAAGGAATAGCTTTACAATTTAGCTTCCTCTACCGAAGGTTTCCCATATTTCAAAGAATCTTCATCCGCAGAGGGTTAAAACCCAAAGAGTATTGCTGATTACAGCTCTCTCCCGCACAGTACACACATCGAAGAATCCCACACTAATTAGATCGGAGCAGCGCGGCGTCTATCGGGCGAAGATCGGCCCGTAGGAACCAGCACGTTGCTCCGTGAGGGAATGTATCGCGGTTATTTATAAGTTCGAGGGTCGCCGCTTAACCTTGCCCGACCGAGGACCGTCGGGCACGTCACCGAACCGTTTTATTAGGATGCTCTCCCTTCGCCCGGACACGTCCAATTGGGTCAACACCACCTGCCTCTTTTCGGATTCGCCGTGCAACCCGCTTTTTCCGGATTATTTCACGAATCTCCCTCCTCCCGGTAACGTACTGGGTGTCCTGTAATCCTGCAACCGGCCGCGATCTGATCGATAAAATCTGATGAATAAAATATCGAGTTGAGTGAAGTTTCGTACAATTTCGAATTTTTATTTCTCGGCGGGAAATGGTCGTTAATTTCTACTGTGATTTCTTCGACGACTGGGTCGATGGATTTTATTATTGATCGTTCGTTGGAATTATTAGAAGAATTAGAATTCGTCCGTATTTATTTTAAGGTATTATGATTGAGAATAGAAGAAGTAGCAATTTTAATTGTTATGTTCTATTTGGAGATTTTCTTTGCAAGGGCATTGTTTGTCTGTATATTAATCATAATTATATTACAGAATATAACAATTACAATTTGTCGTTATTCGAGACAGCTTGTTTTCGGGGGAATCAGGCGTGAAAATTTGTCGAGCACGCGCACACTTCGCTAACTTTCGACTAAATAAAACGAGCAGAATCAGCAGGACCGAAGGTGAATAAAAAAATGTAGAATAACATCTTTTTTTATTCCACCGGTACACTGAAAATTATAGTATACGATTATGCACCGATCAATAAAATAATTGATCCATAATTCTATTTTATTCGAGCCTCGAATAATCATGTATTAAATATTACCACGAGGATAACTTTATTACCAGAATGAAACAATTAATTTCGTCTAATCTGTTCCACTGTACCTCACACTCCCGAATAATCATAAATCAGCAGGATTCAAGATCCCTCAGAATCTCCCAGGCTCCGCGGAGAACTTTCAAAGTTCCTTTCACTGTTACACACTTGTGGTGAACATTTTTAACCTGGCTGAACTGAAATTAACCCATTACTCACCGTCAAAGTCCCGCAAACTCGTGAACATCTCTTAAAAAGCTTATCACTTGCGGGCTTTACGCGTGCATGTTAAAGCGCGGCACAATAAAACGTTCGGCAAACTAAAACGAGATTTATGCCTGCACCCGGAACACGTCGTAATAACATAAACAAACACCTCTTCGATTATATTCTGCGTAAATTAACGCACGAAAACATTGTATCGTCGGGAACATTTATAATCTATTCATCGCGCGGCCCGCAATAACCGGACGCAAGAGCACATCGCTGTTGTCTGAATCATGAATCCACGATCTATAAATGGAGGAGCCTTTAATGTTTTCACTAGTACGATATTCGAATTCGGGTGTCACCGTTTTGGACATAAACTTAGGATAATTGATTCAATTCATTGGTAAAGTATCAGTTGATTAATTTAAAAATTGAAAAATTAAACTAAGGTGTTCATTGATTAATTCAACATTAATTCTAAAGAATTGATTATTTTAAAGAATTGAAAGGGGTTAATTTAATGGATTATCTTGATGACTTGACGAACGAACCGAAATTGCTATGAAGCTATTGGGTGTCAGTATTTTTGACATAAACTTAGGATAATTGATTCAATTAATTGGCAAAGTATCAATTGATTAATTTAAAAATTGAAAAATTAAACTAACGTATTCATTGATGAATTCAGAATGAATTCCAAAGAGTTATTTATTTTAAAGAATTGAAATTGGTTAATTTAATGAATTATCTTGATGATCTGACGAACGAACCGAATTTTATGGGATGTATGGGATAACACGATAATGGAGGAATTGCTATGAAGCTATTAGCTTCTTAGTATCTGCTTCTTTAAGAAAACTGCTTCGACTGTATAGGAGTTTCGACGAATGTTCGTTTGACGGTGAACATTAGCATTTCGTAAACAGGCATCAGAAAACATCGTTCGGAAGACGATACGTGAATTCGACCGCCACATGTTTGTAAACACGGAGAAAGGCGGCGACGAGTGGTGCGTTCACTATTATAGAAACGCTAAGACGTCTCTTATACAGCGACCGAGCGAGTACAATTTCGAATGAGACCTCGAGGCCACTATTTCAGGGGTTAATTAGTCATCTGCCGCGGTCTCTGCCGTACGACTGAGCGACGTTTAAACGCGGCGGACGAAGATGCTTTGAAATCTACGAAGTCTTCAACGAATGAAGTTAAATTAAATATCAGTTACTTAATTAATAGGAAAAAAGGAAACTGCGAGCTGATCTCTTGCTGTCAGAGTAATTAAATCATTTCTCTGCGACTTAGTCTTTCAAATATGAACACTTCATCTCTCAGAAATGCCGACGTTCGTCAGCAAAGGGTTGAACGCGGCGGACTTTGCGATCACCGTGACGGTTCATGGACGGACTATACCACTTGATAGCTAGACTGAGGAATATGGGCCTAAGTGGTTACACGTAACTAATCAAAACTAATCAAAAGAGAAAGATCCTCATCTAGGCCGAGGAATACAGATCTAAGCGATCGGTTTTCATCTTTCCTCGTTTAATTTTTA